GGCGTCTCCTAAGAGGCAGGAGTCCAACCTCTCGTTCGCTCGTTGGACACCCTTCAGAGTTGGAGATCCCAACCCCAACGTCCATGCTGTGGTTGCACCTCCGATGTGATTGTGTTTCTTCACTCCTTCACTTCCAAGTGTAATAAAGGGCCGTCCATAAATGACGTCACGCACCTGGGGGGGGCGCAGACATTTGTGACGATGTGTGACGAGGGGGGGGGGGGTTTGGAAAAATGTAACGTCACATAAAAATGTGCAACTTTAAATAAATATAGACAACACGTTCTACTTAATTAAATAGACTTTTTAATAAATGTTTTCTCCTACAACATCAGAGTGCAGCGCCACATTAAATACGCACTACAATTACAATAGTTTAAAGCGATTTGAAGCATGTTTTATTTGGGGGGGGGGCAGAACTTTGTGACGTTATATTTGAGGGGGGGTCTGACCTTTTGTGCCGCCGTGTGACAAGGGGGGGGGGGGGGTGGTCAAAAATCGTCCAAAATCGCGTGACGTCATTTATGGATGGCCCCTAACGCGAGCACAAGTGATGCGTTCCCACTCAGCCAATTTCCCGCGCAGAGAGACACATGCATGTGAATAATTATTATTATTATTTCTCTTGTCCGAGAACTTAATTTTATATAAAAAAAGTACATACGTATGAAAAACATCGCTTGCAAAAGTGTGCCGTGAACCATTAGCGTGATTACAAAACATCGTCTATTTGCCGCCGTGTATTGCTGCAAAACAAAAAAAAGAATATCTGGACAAGGTGCCTACGACGGTAAAACGCACACTTTGTCAAATTGGTTACCTCGGGAGACTTGCATTGACGAGACCAACTGCTCAGACAAATGAGCAATCCGTTTTCAGGTTAAAATAAATTTTCGAGGTCACTGTCAATGCAATTATAGTCCCAAAATGCCTCTAACCAGTCGCTTATTTTTGCCTTTATATTTCCCTAGATTTTTGTGACAACGTGGGGGGTGGAGGAGGAAGTGGGGGTGTCGTGGTTATCTAACTATCAACAGGCCACATGCTTAACATCGGTGGCGAGTGCTATCCGAATCGGTCCCGGTATGACTCCTTCCCCAACCCAGGCTCACCCACGGGGAGGCCGTCATCCAGCAGTGGATGGAGAAAGGGCTGTTGTACGTACACAATAATACATCATGAAAATCAATGTGTGTGTGTCGCAGCGTCATCCGAGCTAAGTGCATCTCACAACACCAGTGACGATTTTCTGAATCCGTTCTAGGCCTCCCCTAGGTTGACTCAGACTCAAATGAGTACCTGGTGCAGTGGTGTGTAAACATCGCCATGAGGGAGACAAAGGCGGTCGGGCAAAGTGCTGGCCACCCACCTCCTTGTGCCGTGCAGGCCTTCATAGGTGCTACTCGATAACAGCACTTGCCCCAAAAGCCTGCGAAAGCTATACGGGGTGTATTTGTTGTTTTATGTATATAAACATATTTTCAGCCAATGTATGAGTGTTTATACATGTGGGAGAAAACCGGAGTACCTGGAGAAAACCCACGCGTGTGACACTTCTGCGCACGTGGTGTTGTATGCATGTACTGTGTTGAACTTTTGTCGCATAGTATATGTTGTAACGGTGCAGCAATGCCCGGATTGATATCGATTACCAAGCTCTCGACACATGCACCGAATCACACGTCTAAGAATTCTTTTTTTTTAGATTTGCAAATGTTATAAGCAATGGGTTCGTGTAACTCCTCCAGCCACTAGAGGCTGCTTACATTCACCACATCCTGGACATTATTGTGAAACCTGAAAATACATTCAATTGCGGAGTCGGGATGGGGACATTTGTTTTCACCCGAATGTGTAGGAAAGTTTCGAATGAAATAGTAGAAGTCATTGAATGCGTGCGTAATCAACCTGGTTTATTTTTGCACAAAATACATAAATTCCGCAAAACAATGAAGCTTTCCAGCACCCGCGTTATGAAGTAGCCAAATAAAGAAAAACGTAGTGTATTACATGATTTATGGCGTGCAAATACAAGTCATAAAACCTCAGCCATCATCGTTAACACTTCCTTATAGCATACAATTTATAATAGCAAGGCAAACATGTACAGCAATGGTATTTTTTTAGACTGGAAAAAAGCAATATTTTCCCAGTGCTTTCAAAGCATCACGTTGTAAACACGTGTTCTCTCAATTGCAAGTCAGTAAAATTATATGGTTCCCCCTTCACGTCTGATTTTGAAGATCGGCCACTCTATACAGCAAGTCACCCTCCTCCCTTCCTTACTGAACAACTTGCCCCGAACATTTGTGCGTGAAAGTGAAGCTAATGAATGTGACATGAATTCGGAAAATTTCATAATTTCAATTAGATTGAACACCTTGGATCTGACGGCTGAAACGGAGGACGCTAAATGATGCTGCCAAAGAAAAGGGATTAAGATTGATTGAGGCTCATTCTCCAATCACGGGCAACCACGATCAATTGGAACTGTTGTAAATAATGGACAGGGGAAGGTATTGATTCTTATGCCATTAAGTGTGTAAGTGAATAAATTGGCAGTGGTTATGTCGGATATTTTTCCGAAGTGTATATTACTATAATTAGATTGAACTTGAGAAGAAGAATAATCTTGTTCTTTCCCTGCCCCATTAATGTATAACAATTAGGGAACAGTATGTTAAACTTGACTGTCACATGGGTGAGAGTGGAGGTCTCATGATTCTTTGTAAATCAGAATAGACCTCTTGTACGTTTACACATCGGTCACGGCATTAAAAAAACATCAGACGGATGAACATTACATAAATGTACATCACTGGACCTCCTTTGCCAGTACCAAAATATGAAAATAGGGTTTCCCCTTTTTACTGGCAACAAAACATGTGTTAAGATGTTAAAACACCAAACTGAAATACAGGTAAAATAATGAATGCAATAAAACGGATAAATAAATATATCTATCGATCTATAGTACTGTACTATATAAATAAGAATGCAATTACGTTTCTTCACTATTTTGCTTTTATGTGTCATGTTTTTTTTACTATACATGAAAAAAACCCATTATTTTCAAGATAAATTGTCTGTTTACAATATCTTATGATTTATTTATAGTATTAAATGGTAAGTTCCAAAGGCTGGGGAATGCATCCTCATAATAACAATGTTATAAATTATTCAACATACGACGTTTCAATGTACAAACTTCGCTTCAGGCACGCATCTCCTTCGTATATCGCTTACGTGTAGGCAGGGGCGGCCCCAGACGAGCTTGCCAGCAACTGGCGCCCTTAGGGGCCGTCCATAAATGACGTCACGTACCTAGGGGGGGGTCAGACATTTGTGACAATGTATGACAGGGGGGGAGGGGAGAAATGTGACGTCACATCAAAATGCGCACATTTAAATAAATATAGACAACACGTTCTACTTAATTAAATAGACTTTTTAATACATGTTTTCTCCTACAACATCAGAGTGCAGCGCCACATTAAATACGCACTACAATGACAATAGTTTAAAGCGATTTGAAGCATGTTTTATTTTGGGGGGGGGGGCAGAGCTTTGTGACGTCATAATTGAGGGGGGGTCTGACTTTTTGTGACGCCGTGTGATGAAGGGTGGGGGTAGTAAAAAATCTTCCAAAATCGCGTGACGTCATTTATGGACGGCCCCTAAGGCGAACCACGCAATCAGCGCCCCCATCTCCAAAACCCCAAGGGCAGATCTCGGCTGAGGTTTTTGGTAAAATGGAAAACTACTTGCCCCTGTTTCCCGTTTAATGTTTTTTATGCATATTTTTTAAAAACTGCTTTTGACCAAGGGAGATGATATGACTCAAACTACAGGTGACCTGACACTAGATGACAAGGCCGTAGCCATGGAGTCAATATTGGGCGGGACCAAATCTTCCAGGGTGTCTGGGGGTCCCAACCCAGAAAAATATTTACATTTGAAAACTCATTTCCTGCCTAAAATATTACAAAATTCACGAACACATAGGATGAGCTTTTTATTTTATTTTACAATAATGTCTAATAGTGTATTGTATTACATTGCTCTGTTTTTACTTTGTTACCATTTCTTGTTTCATTGTATGTAATGGCAGAGATCAGGGATTAATAAAGAACAACCATAACCACAATCATATGAACATAAATCTATGCATTGATTTATATGAAGACAAGTCCAGATATTGTGGCCAAGGTTTAGCAAATTGTTATTTTTATTTACATAGCATAGCAATTATTTTATTGCAATATATTGGGGGGGGGGGGCATTTTGAGCATATTTGATTATTGGGGGGGATGTGTCCCCCCCAATACAGGATATATTATAATTACGTCCTTGCTAGATTATAATGTAGATGAATATTACAACAGGTTTAAAGCTATCCTACTTAAATAGCTGTGGACGCCTATGATATTCGGCATATTGTAAACAAAATATGCATGTTTATACTGAACTGTGAAACTCCTTTAATACCTTCATATTTTTAATCTTTGTTGACACGTGACGAATTTGTAGCAGAAAAAGTTTAGGCCGACTACGCTGCGATTTACGGTATTCATTTTTTCAAGTAAATTAAATATTTTACGTGATAACATTCTCAGAAATGTTGAGAAATTTCTGATAATTAATATTTTCTCCGTAATAATGACATCCTTATTTTACTTGTATTTTTTCTTCAATTGTATTTTTTCCCTCGAATTTGGCACCCCACTTAACTTGGCGCCAGAGTTCGACTGCCTCCATGGGCGGATTGGTCGTCCCTGCTTGTCAGTAGTTTTTGGGCAAATTCGAAAATTAAAAACACGCGACTCCTGTCATAGCTTCGGTAGACAGAAGCCATCCGCCACGGGTTGTATTGGGGCGGCTGATGTAGGGGGGGGGCAGCCGGGTGGGTGGGCGGAGTTTTCTTTTAGAACGAGGCGGGCATGACGTCACGACACGAGGCGTGACGTCACGCTGGCGTGTCACCACACTGGGAACGCTTAAGTGACGTCACCCCGCGGGCCGCGTGTGCAGAGACGAGAAGCAATGGCGACGCTAGGAGCTGCGCGGCGTTCAGCCCTCTCGTTCCGCAGGGCGCTCACGGGAGACCTGTTGGGCAAACACCAGGTCTGTGTGTCTCTCTGTGCGTCTGGCTGTGTGTGCGTGAGGGGGATGGAGGTTGCGGGGGGTAGGGGTGGTTGTTGACCACTTTGCTGTTTTTTCCTGGATTTTTCTGTTACTTTAAGATGTTTTCTTGTTCATATTTTTTGTTTGTTGCGGTTGCACCAGATTCAAAAGCCGAATTGCTCACAGGGCTATGCCTAATCAATGAACTGAACTCCTTTCGGGTGCCGTTACCGACCTGCACGGAGTGCTACTCACTTGACAGCACTTGCCCCAACAGTCTGTTAAGGCTGTACGGGGGATCTTTGACTTTGTGTGTGCATCTGCCGGTCGTCTCCGTCGTAGGTCAACACATGGAACCCGCCGGGTCTGTTCCCGTGACCTCCGTGCTAGCGGCGAGACCTTTCGACGCGATAGCCTCAGAGTGCACCTAGCCTGGCACAGGCGCCGTGGTGATGTCACGGGCAGAATGGCGGGTGTTGTTGTGGTTGTGGTTGTTGTGTGCTTTGCATGCAAGGCCACGCTGCTGCTGTTTCGTGCTCCGTTGTGTGAAGTTGTTAGTGCCGAGGTCGTCATTCCGGGGAAGTTGGAGTTTAAAGGGCAAAAGAGTTGCGAACCGGTGGTTTGCCTGTTGCTGATTACTTATAGAATGCAATTAAGTTTATGGTGCTGATGTTGCTGCTGCTGCGTTTGGCAGTGGTGCAAACAAGCACAATTAGGGACGACAAAAAATAACTCCCAGCAGATTGGGTCCAATGACACCGTGGCCTTGAAAGAGAGAGATTAAAAAAAAACTTTTGACGTTTCAGGCAACGACGCTTTGACAGCGCACACGCGAACATTATTAGTTTCGCGCGTGCTGTGTGGCAATTGGTAACGAGGGGACAAGAGTGTGAGGAGGTGATTTGCGTTGAAGGGTATGAGTTGGGGTTAATAGCTCTGCAATGTTGGGAAGTTTTGCAGCGTGATATTTGTCATTTAGATTGTTAAAATTAAGAGTTATTAAAGTTTCGATTTAAAGCTTTCGTGACTGCAGGGATTCATATTCTTAGGACGCTGTCTTTTCGACAGCTCTTCTTCACCTGAGGACGACTGCTTGTGTTGTGGCTGAAGCGTCGTGAGAATAAAATATTTTATTATTATTTTATTATTTACCTTCTACGTTACTTTATCGAAAAATCCATGAATAGTTATTAAAGTACCAGTTGAAAGGGTAAAAACCTATTACTATATTTTGCCACTGGTAAAGGAGGTCTCATAGTGTAAATGCTTACCCCGAGCTCTCGATACTCTGATAGTGCGCTTTTTTTGAGTTGTATGCCTTTTGGCGTCATCTTGTCCAACACCAATGGAGACTAGGCTCTAGGAAAAGCTGTCTCGGGTGTGGACCAATCAACTTCAAGGACAGTTCATATCATTATCATCATCAGAGTTGTTTCTTTTTGTTTGCATTTTGACTGCTTGTGTTGTGGTTATTGCAAACATGATGCCTTGTATAAAGGTGTCAGTTTTTGTACCAGTTGAAAGGGTAAAAACCTATTACTATAGTTATTAAAGTGTTTGAACGGCTCGTTCTCTACGTCCTAAATGTGTGTAACGTTCTTAAACGCATCCAGATTATTTGGTGTCCGCTGTTCTGTCAATTTTCCCTAAAAGTATTTAACTTGAGCAGCATATATGAAAGACGCTATGTAGAGCAAAAAAGCCGATCGCATACCCAGAGAATAATATGCAGGTATGAAGCATCCCTGAGTTATTTTAACGTTATCTTATTAAAAAAACAGGTCCAAAATTGAATAAGCAAGAGGAGTGGGTTTGTGGGCATGCAATACAAATGTATGCACCGTATCGCAGACTACTGTGGTTTGTGCTCCTTCAAAGGAGGAAAAACCACAATACTCTCTCTTCCGATTCCGTAGTCGTGGCTAGGGACCTCGAGATTGGCCATTTAGCTCCTGAACAAATTGCCATACGCAAGAATATGACTTAACAACCGCTATGTTGTCTGTAAAGTTACATTTGCATTGCATAACATGTATACGTCTGATGGTTATAACATGGTTTTTTGCTGTGAAAGCCTCAATCGGTGATTTTGGTCTTTTGGGTCATAAATACCGTGCAGCAAAACGTGTAAAAGTTCCCTGCTGGGCAGTATCGTTTTGTGCATTTGCAGTCAAGTGTGGCGCGCGCCACGTGCACATGCTATGTTTAAGTGAAAGCATAACCCTTGAGTGTGTTTTGGAATACGCGTCGAATTTGTAATTCGTGCACGGTTTCGAGCAGCCCGTCGCTTCACTGAAGCCAGCGAAAGGACCTTGGAAGTGGACAAGGGCAAAGGTCGCTTGAAGGACATCGTCGTTTGAAAGCGCTTTTTTAAAAAAATGTGACCAGAAAACCAGACTAGGCCCAATTAAATAGTTAAACATTCATTTTCAAGACTGACTTAGCGAGTGTTTTTCGTGAAGCGGGTTGCAAGTTCCGCGCACAAGCACACCGTTTTTCAATATTATTTCACTTATCATACCCGTCGTGAGTGTTTGCAGTACATATTGTACTTTAAATGAGTTCACGTAAGTTCGTCAGCATTGAGAAACTTCGGTCTGCAGAGTCGGTAGCCACATTCCACGAACCAGTTACCTCCAGAATGAAGGATAACAAGAGGGGGTTGGCACATCGTGTGAGAGAACTCTGGGACTAACTGGTCATTGTTGGATTGTGTGTGCTTGTGACCATGCTTCTACGGCGGTTTGATGTGCTTTGCGCGATTAGGCCAGCTCCTTGTAAAGTTCCATGCAAGGGTTTTCACAGGCCATGGATACCCAATATGGCACAAGTCTGATGTGGGGCTAGCGAGTCATTTTGGATGACCTTTGAAATGCAGTAAAATAACCCCTATAATCAGTTTTTCATCATTGCATCGTCACTATTGACAATAAACCAGAGCTTGTTTTTTTACAGATTAAGTTGCATAACAAGCACATTTCTGTCACAGACTGGAATTGACTAAAGTAATTTAAAAGGCATTAGTTGTGCATAATCAATCTTTCTTTTTGGTATTTTATGAAATGCGTATGGATTTCAGATGCTTAAATTTAACAGCACAAATACTCGCAGCAGTCTATCGCTGTTTCTACTACTTTCAAAGTGTGAAGGGGGTTATTTTTCATAGCTTATATTGAATTCGAATGAAGCAGAGGAAGACCAGCTGAAGAGAGGACCAGGCAATATCAGAGGGTTTGATGGCCACCACTTGTTGTGAACAACTAAGTAAAATAATGGATGGAAATGGGGGAGGCTTTTGCACAGCAGTGGCAGTCTTGACAACAATACCAAGTGTTTTTTAAAAATCTGTGCAAATAGCTTAAAGGAACCTGACAATAAACTACACACAACAGATCCAAATTATGAATCAAAATATTGCAGTTGAATTTCAGTAAACATATTTCGTCTTTTATTTCCAGTTTGGCCTGAATCTGTCCACTGTGTACATTTTATGTGAAAAAGGTATTTTCTAACTGTACCAACATTTCTTATATTTCGCTGTGGATTTAAGTTTGTAAGAAAAGTTATGTGTGCGCACGCATTATTTCAACAGGCATCTTGAGAGACCAGCCTATGGTTCACCTTCTTGGTTTTTTCGGTAAGTCACGTAGAAGGGAAATAATAAAATAATACAAATAAAACATTCTCACGACGTTTCGGGCGCAACGCAAGCAGCCGTCCTCAGGTGAAGAACAGGGCTGTCGGAAAGACAGTGTCCGAATGACAGCGTCCAAATGGAGTTCATTCGGATGCTGTCTTTTCGACAGCCCTGTTCTTCACCTGAGTATGGCTACTTGCGTTGTGGCCGAAACGTCGTGAGAATTTTATTTAATAGTTTTATTTTTATTTTATTATTTCCCTTCTATGTGACTTTACCAAAAGAACCAAGAAGATGAAGCCCTGCAGTCACGAAAGCTTTAAATCGAAATTTAAGGCTATGGTTAGTAGAGAGGTCCTGAGTTTAAATTTCATTGGTGGCTTGAGGCTAACACACTGCTGACTTTTTAAACAATGTAATGATTTGTTCAAGGCCAGGATGTACTGGCCTTGACACAAATCATCTGCTATAAATATTCTCGGTGCACTCGTAAACTTTTCTTTGTGAAAAGAAGAAAAATCACAATTTTATAGATGAAACAAAGTGGCCAATGAGAGCAGATTGGAACGCTAATTGGAAAACTTAACTTCGTAATGAAATGCAACATACCAGTGTGTGCCCAAAGTAGACAGTTGTTAATTCATTTATATAACCTCTTATCCAATGGATTGGAGGCATGGACTTTAACAGAGAAAATGGAACAAGCTGACATGTATTCCTTAGACATGTGGAGAGATTCCTGCTTTGAAAAACAAGTGGGATTGGGCAGGGCATGTCACTCAAGTTCAAGTTTAATTTTTTTGGTATAGCCTTGTGAGCCATGCGGCTCTTAAGTCGGGTGCAACCGCAACAAACAAAATATGAACATAGAACATCTTAAAGCGACGACGCGTCACAGAAACATCCTGGAATAACCAGCAAATATTCCAAAAAAACCCCATTATTAATACGCTGTGTGGAAAAATCCCAATGTGGTGCAAGTCAACAATAAAAACCATAAGACAATTTAGATTAACCATATGTTTTCGAATCACCAAAATAAAGCTATAAAAACAGTGTAACAGCAGTAATCACTCGGAAGGCTGATGTCCAGTGGGAAAGACTAATGATAGTGACAGCCTAAGGAGGGAACACAATAAGTGTTTCTTAAGATGGAGCAATAAAATGTGCCTGTATGCATGAGCTAGTTAGATTGCATAGAACAACTGAGAAATGCTAATGACCTGGGGAAAGGTGAGGCCTTCATCCAAAAGTGGATAGATCATGTCCAGTAATGATGAAATCATTGTAAGCTATACACCGTTTTGTGTTTTCCCCCCTAGAAGGCTGTTTAAAATGTATTTTAAATGTATAGCTTGACTGG